GTGTGTGTGTGTGTGTGTGTGTGTGTGTGTGTGTGTGTGTGTGTGTGATGTCTCATTCTGGGGCCAAACATTCAACACTTGCTCCCAACCCTTTGATGAGTAACGAGGCTGCCTATGCATTAACCACTCCCTATGCAAGAGAAGATTCTCTGGCCAGCATGGAAAGCAGCACGAATCCATTGACATAGACACTTAGGAGTCAGTTTGACAATGTGTCCGCTTGGAAAATGATGGTAGCATGTTTCCTCATGGGCCTTTATGACCTAGTATCTGGGCTTAGGACCAGATTTAAAGTACCAGGCGTGAATTCTATCCTGTGAAGTGACCAAAAACTCAACCAGAAAGTGCCTGGTTACTGTCATAGCAATAGTGCCGTGACTGCACCTGCGGACACATCATCGCCAGCAGGTCCGCATTAATGTGTTCTGCTGCTCAGAACACTGAAGACTGTTTTCTCCCAGCACCAGGCTAGCCCCACCCTGCACAAAGAAAGCTAGGCACAGGGAGAAAGCTTACCAATCAGTTTTAGCTGATTTCGCCATGTGCCAAGACCAAACTGTGATATCTTCAATAACAGGATCTAACCGTCTAATCCTGTTGTATAACCCAGAGAAATAGTAATAGCCTGTAATGTTGTGGAAGCTTCTGGGCTCCCCGACTAAAGATACATATGTGTATCTCACACCAGGGACTGGTAGTTTTCTGTGATAACCCATGACTTGTAGAGGTAGCTTTGCGAGGACACCGTAGAGGTGTTCTCTCAAACGTGTCTTCCCGTTAACCTTCTTACAACTCAAGAGCTTAGGCATTGAAGCCTTTCCCAAGTCCCAGATTACAACCAACTTAATGCTTCAGTTACCTAGACACCTACCCTGCTAAGTTCACCTGTTGTCTCTTCCAGGACCACACCTAGGACAGGGTAGGAAGCTGCAGCAAATACTGAACTTTTCTTTATGAACTGAATTAGTGTTTCAAAGTTGCCTGAAAATTTGTGAACCTAACATGACAGGAGTGAATACCTTGGGTCGAGAATGATTCCTACCTGGATCCTCAAGTGCAGCCAGTGCTGGCAGCATTGAGCTAGCCATTCCTGCCTGAGGACAGTGAGCTCTCCCTTCTCCACAGATCAACACTCAACAAATGGACGGCACCCGGGAGCCATCCTGTGCTCAACCCGCACTGCGGTGCATGATGCTCTTCCCACTGCCCGGTGGATGTCTCTGGCTAGATGAGTGCAGAAAGTCGATCTGTAGTCAGGTGTCCTCTTTGCACGTGCGCCCATCCCATCCCCACCCTGCTCCAGAAACCTTTCTTTCCACGTCTCCAGTCCTATCCTTCCCTGTTGTGTGTTCTATCCTCTCCCTTGCTGCTTCCTGGTCTGGCCTAAGTGAAGACAGAGGTTATATCTTTTCACATCATAGCTGGCCCTGGAGACACAGACACATCCCCAACCCACACAATAGGCAGCCAGGCCAATGTCGAGTCTTAAGAGAGGTGACTCTATTGGTACAGGACTGGGCTGAGCATCCCAGGCCACCACTTGTACGAGCTCCTAGATCCTGGTCGGTAGACCAGGGGGAAAGAAAGCACTCTGTTTCCCAGTGCTCTCCAGAGCAGCTCTCACTTTAAAGACAGTGCAGGAGGCTAGAGAGTAGGCTCAGCGCTGAAGAGGATCAGGGTTTGGTGGCTCACGAGGCTCTGTACTCTAGTTCTAGGGGATCTAACTCCCTCTGGTGACCTCCACTGTCTCTACACGCAGGCCAAACACACACATAGAACACTGTCTTTTTAAAAAGCAAGAAAAATAGAAGCCCATAAACACAGGATTCTGGAAACTTGTACCTGCCCATGGGTCTTGCTAGGTGTGCCCAGCCTTGTAGCAGGCCCCTCATTCTGCATTCCCCAGCACAGTGGAGCAGGGGAGGGCTGGGGGGCTGGCGGAGCAACTTCAGAAAGGAGGCCTGGAGACTATGGAGGCCTGGTAGAAGTGTGATGTGGCTGGCTACCTCAGGGCTGCAAGATAGCGGGACACGTGGGAATTTCCCTCAGCCTTCAGTTGTTCTAGGCTCATGCTAGACTAATCCACCACTCGTTGGTGGGCACTTCAGACCCTGGGGTAGCAGGCAGAGGGCCCAAGGAAGAAAGTGGGGCCCAGGAGGCCACTTCTTGCTTTTCTTCATTCTCCTGGAGCACAGCCCCTCTCAGGCCTCACTCTGAGAACTTACTAGGCCTAGGATGAACTTTGCTCATGCACATGTGTTCTTGACTGAAGTAAATGCAGAATTTAAACAGTGTCAGAAGGCTCTGGGGTCATCATGGGATAAGGAAATTCATCAAGGAGGGAGGAACAAATGAACAAATGTCCTGGGCTTCGTGATGGTTTAGGGCTAGAAGATGACTAATGTCTTCTCCCTCATTTTCACTGAAGTCCAGGAAAAGCTTGCTCACCTCTGTAGTCCTGGTACACGGGAAGAGAGGAAGTATGTTACCATGACTTTCAGCCTAGTTGGATTACCTAGTTAGACCCTGTATCAAAAGCAACTCTAGAGAGTGACTCACCTCCAGAGATTCTGTGTTCCTGTTGCATCTCCATCAACAGGTGCCAAGAACGTCTCAGGTGATGTCCTTAACACAGGTGACCATGGTAGTCCTCTTCTGCCCCTGCTGCTCCTGACATTCTTCCTGTTGGCATAGCGGCATTAGCAGTTGTGGGGTGAACTGTCTTTTCTTAAATAGACACTTAGTCAGAGATCCTAATTCATGTTTTTGGGGCTCCTGAGGCTGAGCACTTTACTGACTTCTCCTCAGATTCCTATTGCCTTCTGAGGCTCCCCGAAGTCCTGCCTTTCTTGCCACCTTCCCTCTTAGCTCTCCTATAGACCCCGGGACTGGCAGTCTAGGCCCTCCTCAGGGTGGCCCTTATGCCCCTTTCATCAACCTCTGAGAACGTCACCTGACCTGAGTCATGCAATTCCCCTCCATGCCAGGAGAGCCTTCTGCACCTGTGCCCTGGCCGCCTTCCACCTGGGCCCTCTCCATCTGCCTGGACAATAGCACAGCTCCTGCGTTGTCTTGTTAGAGTCTGTCTTTGCTGTCAGAGCCTCAATTTACCTCCTGGGCTGTGCCAGGCAAGAGGGATGTGTGCAGCTCCACCTTAGCCTTTGTAGCTGGGAGAACAACACCCTATGTCTGTTTCCTCCTCTATGGAATGGCAGTAGCTAGAGAAGACCCTCTTGGGGCTAATGTGGGAGATGGAACCACTGCATAGAACCCTGCTGGAGTACATGTCTGTGATTCCCCACTTGGGAGGTGGAGGCAGAAGGACCAGGAGTTCAAAGGCATCTTTCATGACAGCAAGTTAAAGGCCAGCCTGAACTGCATGAGATCCCTTCTCCAAAAGACAAGTTACTGTATAGGATGAGTTTAGAATTGAGTTTTCCACATAGATCCCACCGTCCATGTGTGCAGTGCTCAGTGTTTTCCACATAGATCCCACCATCCATGTGTGCAGTGCTCATGGTGTTTTCCACATAGATCCCACCATCCATGTGTGCAGTGCTCACGGTGTTTTCCACATAGATCCTACCGTCCATGTGTGCAGTGCTCACTGTGGTGAAGAAGGTCTTCCTGACTCCCTACTCACTCTAAGGAGAGTTCTCTCTAGCCCGGCCCTCAGCAGATGGGAAGACGATGTTTCAGAGCTTTAGAATGTGCACAAAGTTTATCCCAGGCTACTCTGGCCCTGCCTTCCACTGTGACTCCCAGTCCTGCCTGAATGGCAGCTCCTCTATGACCAAAACACACATGGATCTGTGCACTGGCATTGTCTTGTGACTCATTACTCTGAAGGTCCACATGGAGAACGGGAAGAGTCTGTCCTGAGGGTTCTTGTGAGGAAATGATCTCTGACTGTTCCCTAGGAAGGAACCACAGTCAGCACCTGTGTGTCTGTTTCCCTTCTCTGTCTCTGTTGGAGATGCACTTTAGACCACTGTGTAGCCTACTAGTGGTGTGGCCAAGACAGTCACCCCAGCTTGCACGTGGTGAAGGTGCAGGAAAGGAGCCAGGGAGAGCAGAAGGTCGATCCTTTACTGCCTTCCTTCTAACTACCAAGTGAAAAAACAGCTTCCTTAATTTTGTCTCATTTTGTCTATCTTCCCCCACTGCCCAGATATGTGTTGTTCTGTCCGTGACTCCAGTACTCAAGAGCCTGAGGATGGTGCCATGTGGGCCTGAGCTCTTCAGAGCCTCAGTCATGCTGCTGTCTGACTGTCCAAGGCATCAGTGACTCTAACAAGTCTGTTAGCCAGAAGGTCCGTCCACCTCAGTGAAGCCCCTGCGCTCCAAACTCACGACCTTTCACAGAGTCCACAGGAGCACCATGGAGAGAAGTTTTATGAACTATGACACCGAGTTAAAAAGAAAACAAAACCTTCAAAACTTCATATATTTAAAGCCGTATTCCACACTCCCAAATCTCCCATGCAGGATCATGGAAAGAACACGTCTTAAAGGACTATATGTGCAGTATTTATCTGTAGAGACTGGTTCCATGTCCCTACCACTTGTGGTCCTTGGAATCATATGTCACATATTACCCACTCACTTATACTAGAATTCCTATATAGATTCACCCAGGCATCCCTAAAAACTTAGTGGCTCCAACATGAATTATATCTAGAGATTTCCTACCACACATAGATTTCCTACTGCTCCTCAATCACCAGCAACTCAGCCCTGACTTCACCTTATCACTGACACAAGAAGCCAGTGAGAATCACTCAGAAGTCACAGCGCTAATCAGGGGCTTGAGAGCAAAAGGAGCCCCTGCAAGTTGGGCTGCAATACCTGACCTTGTGCCTGAGGCATGGCATAACTTACCACACTGCATTTCTTAAGCGCCTTTCTTTATGGTTTCCCATAAAGTCCATCAGGTCAAGTTGGTTCATGTTGCTTTGAAGTATCATGAGATACATGAGGCAGTATGCCTCATGAGAAAGCATACAGTGTGCCTCATGAGAAAGCACACGGTATGGCTCATGAGAAAGCACACAGTGTGCCTCATGAGAAAGCATGCAGTGTGACTCACCATGTTGCTTTCCTTAAAAATAGTAATAGAATATGGATAGGAAAATACACATGTAGGAAAATATGAGTCTTTAAAAACCAACTGTAAGGATTTTAAATAACGGGCTCATGAGGACTCTGACCCAGTCAATGTATTGACCCTTTGGTGGGGTCATAATGTAGTGGCACTATGGGAAGTGACAGAAACTAGTGAGTGGGACCTTGTTAAAGGCAGTGTGTTGCAAGGGGTGTGCTTTGAAGCTTGGATCTTATTCCTGCCCCTTCCAGTCTCTCTGCAATAGTCTCCTTCCCAGATTCCTCCTACTGGTGCTCTGCCTCACCACTGGTCCAAAGGGTGAGGACACTGATGCTCTCTGATACACCAGCACCTGTGAGCCACAACAAACGTCCCTCCTTTGAGTTACTCCCTCGAGTATGTTGTCACAGCGATGAAAACTGACTAGCATGGCATCCTTCATAGACAGATTTGCCATGGGCGGCAGAAGAATCTGGTTAGGTGAAGGATAAAAGTGATCCAGGCTTTCATTTCTCTGACAATATTTCACCCAGAACTACTCAAGATGAATATATTCTTATGTGAAGAAGTTTTTGTTGGCCAGGCATGGTGGTGCACACTTTAACCCCAGCACTTGGAGGCAGAGGCTGTCAAATCTCTGAGATGGAGGCCAGTCTGATCAACAGAGTGAGTCCTAGGACAGCCAGGACTACACAGAGAAACCCTGTCTCCCAAAAAACAAAAAATGTTTTTGTTGAGCCGGGAATGTAGCTTAGTGGTAGAGGACTTGCCTGGGGTGCATGTGGTCTTGGGTTCAATATCTAGCACTTCAAAAAAGTATTTAAGGATGCAGTCAACTGGGTTTAAGATAATTAAGTAAATATAGTTAAGACACAGCAGTATCTTTGTTGTTGTTTTAGGTCACTAATATGAACTGTGTATGCACCTTTGTGAACCATAAAAAGTGACCTGCCGTCTATATGCATGCTAGGGGAGACACAATGTGAGAAAAAGAGTTTAAGATCCTCTCTTCAGTGTGCAGATTTCATGACCATTTTTGGACTCTCTTGATATATAAAAACATCAAATTGACAGTCCTAAGATACAAAGGGAGGCAAGGTGTGTTGGCCCATTTCCCACAGTAAAACAACATCACCAACAAATCCACACTAATTCCCTATTTCTGGACATGGACTTTACCTGGTCTTCACTAATGTCTTCCTTCTCCAACTCTTCAGTTTTTTGCCTGGTTCTGCACCCAAGGTTGGTACAGAATGCTGGAGGGTCAAGATTCTATACTGACCGTTTGCAAGTGGAAGTAAGTCCGTTATAACTGCCATACCAGCTGTGCCCACAGAAGAAGAGAGACTGGAGCCGGGCAGGTGGCTTTCACCTGTGGTCTTAGTACTTCTGGGGCTGATGCAGAAGAATCTCCCGTGCATTTGATTTCCCTAACTAATTTGTTCTTGGTGACAGGAAAGGCCTGCCTTCAAACAAAATGGAGTTCAGAGCCACAAGTCCATCCTACAATGTTGCTAGGAGTTCTGCACCGGAAGATCTGAGCCAGCTAATTGAGGTATGGTCTATGGCTGGAGATAAGTATCGGGTATATAATTTGCCTGCAATAATTGTGCACGAATTTAACACCTTGGTGCCTTTTCCTGTGTTTGAACCTGTAAAGCCACATCTTTCGCCCTGAGTGTTGATGGCTCACTTTTTTGTCTATGTCAGTCTCAACAGATTCACAGCGAAGAGGCCAATACTGTGCCCAGTTTGTCTGTAGAACGCACCACACAAACATTCTCACTCCTCACAGAGTGCAAGCCAGGCTTGGGCGGTGCTCTGGTGCCGGGAGCTCACAGCTCACCCTAGTGGGTTTCCCTCTACTGCAGCTTAGCCCTAGTCCCTGGCAGCCTTTCACAGCAGGGACTTGTCCCTCCAGTGTCTCTGCAGACTTAGTATGGTAGATACTTACAAAATTAGCAAGGGCACCCCATCCCACAGCCTTCTGCTTCTAGTTCTGATTGTTTCATAGAGAATATTTCGTCCCAAGAACATAACGATCAGCCTGTCGTTGACGTCTCCATTTTCACAATTGGTTAGTCCATCCCTGGAATCTTGGGGACAGTGAAACACCCTTTATCTCAGTAACACCTGCACATCCAAGAATATGTATTGAGTTTGGAACCACAGGTCATTCATTGTGGGCACGGGGGATGGAGCCATGAGTCAGAAAATCTGCCTTTCAAGAAATTAAATTTTAGGAGAATCCTAAAGTGGAGAATTACAACAGAACCAGCATGGGCCGGTGAGATGGCTCAGAGGGTAGAGGCACTTGCCACCGGGCTTCATGACCTAAGTTCTGTTCCCAGAACTCATATTGTAGGAAAGAAGCTGTTCCACACATGTCCTCTGACAATCACCGTCCCTTGCAGTATGTCCCTACACACAGGCGCGCGCGCGCGCACACACACACACACACACACACACACACGAGATAATAATGAATAAGTTTAAAAATAAGCAGGACCCGCTGACAGAGAGTGCCTGGGTAGTTTTGTTTGAAAAGGTGCTGTCATCTAAGCCGCGAATGTCAAGCTAGACAGCAATTCCCCATGATATGCTAAATTGCTATTATTTCGATGGAGGAGCCATTGACAGGAAACTGCAGCTTCATAATTTTTAAAGCATACTGGTTCGGTCGGCAGTTCCATCCCCCTCACTCACTAGGTTCCCTTTTCTTCCTGGTTCATTGCTTTATCAAGAGGACTGCTTCAAAGCTCGTTCTCATTGGTTGAAAATTCCAGCCCCACCCACCCGTTCTCCAGACCGTGTCTGAAATTCTTGGAGTGTAAGAGGAGTGGCGAGAGTGGGCGTGTCATCGGAGGTGACGTTTCCGGAAGCTCCGACTGTTATCCTTCACGAAAGGTGGGAAGGGTCCCGGGAATGCTGCGGGACGGGGAATCCTGGCGCGGTGGGACCCCGCGGGGAGAAGCCATGAGTGTGGTGCCCGTGTCCCTGGCGCTGGGCCGCCGCGCGCGAGCTCCGGGATGGCCCTGTCCCCAGGGTTGGCTCCTGACTAGCCAGGCCCGGTCTCAACATGCCTTACATTTTCCCGAAACCTGACTGAGTGCCTTGTGGAAGGGCTCTGCCAGCTTTAACAGCTGGAACCCTCTCCGGGACGCGCCCCTCTGCCCCTGCTCCTTCCTTTTGCCTCTTCCAGAGCTCCTTCTGGTCCTTCCTCCTTCTTTTCGGACACTGTCTTTCCCTTGCATGATTGCTGAACCCCATGTTGGCCCAAAGCCACTCGATGATTTCCAGAGGAAGGTACCTTCTCTCTCCACAAGTGCCTCCCCCAAGAGGTACCGAGATGCCCAGCATCCCATTCCAGTGAGCTCTGCTGGGCTGTGCCCAGTTCCAGCAGCTAGGGACTTTGACGGGTTTTATGCACACTCGCTGTGTCTCCACATTTCCTAATCGTCCCCAACTTTTGCTAGGAAGGAAGGAGGTTTAGTGGGGAAACTTCATGGAAGAAATGTCACCCAAGAGTTGAAGAAAGCTAAAGTAGAATTGGCTTAGAGAAAAGTCTCTGAGAACGGGTGAGTAGAACTCAGAAAAACAGTGGCTGAATAAATGAGACAGGAATCTGCGGTTCCCAGGCAGATGGGAATCCTGACCGAGGAATAAGGAAGGTACAGAGACGGGGAAACAAGACTGTTGAGACACAAGATGAGTGTATTCTAGAATAGTCTGGCTGGGCTGGGCTGTGATCCCATACACAGAACAACCCCAATTCCTCTCTGGATTATGTGTAATGATGGTGTCATGGAGCCCAGAGCCCGTGTCCAACAGAAGCAACATCTAGAGATCATTTAGATTCACTGGAGTCTGGATTCCAATGAATAGGAACTCCTAGAGTGTCCCACCCCATCTGAGGTAACTGTCCCTTTGCTGTTGAAGTCCTACTTGGCTTGTGGAGACAAGTGTACATTGTTTCAGAGTTCTAACTGCCTTTCCTTGAAAATGGTAAATGTGATGGATTGAATCAAATAGTGGTTTAACGAGCGGAGTTGTGAGCATTTGTCCCCAGAAAACACACACACACACACACACACACACACACACACACACACACACACTGACCTTGTATTCAAAGCTGAGGAATTATATCATGGTAAATATCTGGTATTCTCCAGCAAAATGAGATGGAATAATAAATTACCAGAGCAGTCTTCAGGAAGGTTCACTGAATACACTCTGCCAGGTATTGGGTAAATGGAAGTAGGCATCTGGACAGAGAAACAACAGAGCAAATAGCAGATGCTTCCTTACCTCTACAGGGCTCTAGGCAGGCCTTCCACTGATGAAGAGTGGTTAAGGGGCACTAGACCACACAGTGGCCTATTAATGCTGTGTTCCTTGTAGCATCAAATTGTGGGACAAAGGTCTTGATTTTTTTTTTTTAACCTGTTAGTCCTCAAGTCGGGATTTGGGTGTTCTTGTGGGTAGGAAGGTTAATGTATTGATCAGAACCACTGCATGTAGTGTTTTATTTTCTCTAATTTTTGTTTCTTTGTTGTGTGCTTTTGTTTTGTTTTGTGGCAGGGTCTTTCTATGGAGCCTTCCTTGATTGTTCTGGAACTCTCTGTGTAGGCTAGATTAGCCTTGAACTCAGAGGTCTGTTCCTCAGCTGCCGAGATTAAAGGTGTGCTCAACCTCGCCCAGCTCTCTCTTTACTATTTTGGGAGATTTGTGGTACCCTCATCTTGTGCTTGGTCACTGGGAAGATACGACCCTGGCTTTGATGTTGTCTGTTTTCTCTCTTTGGTCCCAGGAAAGACCTTATTGGTCCAATGTCTGACCATGGGGATGTGAGCCTCCCACCCCAAGACCGGGTGAGGATTCTATCCCAGCTTGGGAGTGCAGTGGAATTAAATGAAGACATTCCACCCCGACGCTACTATCGCTCCGGCGTTGAGATCATCCGCATGGCATCCATTTACTCTGAAGAAGGCAACATTGAACATGCCTTTATCCTCTACAACAAGTACATCACGTAAGATACCCACAGTTCTCCTTTGGTTTCTGTGACGGACACCCCTTGTGTTCTGCCTCTGTGCTCACCTATGGCCCTCACAGTTGCTAACAGCAGGGAATGTCGACCATTAACCAGGTTCCAGGCAGCTTTCACAAGTGAGTTGTCCTTGTCGTTCAAGGACACAGGGCCAAAAGCGGTATTATTTGGCTCAGGAATTTCCTGGGTATGAGACTTAGTCCCTAGACCCACCTGTCCCAGCTGTCCACAGATAAGCAGGCTGTATCTGCATTGGTGAGTAATTTTGGCTGCACTCTCTCTGCTCAGGCGACCAGTCACAGGACCATTGCTAGTGTGTGGCAGAGCCCAGACTCCTGTACTCGTCCTGTAGCTTCTTATGTGGTATAGGAAAGAGGTTTCCTTCTTATCTGTCAGTGTAGTCTCTTAGTCACAGATGACTATGGACCACTTTCCGTCTGACTTAACAACAGGAAGAAATTTCCTGAGCTGTTTGTTCATCGTAGTTGGGTTGGCAGCATAAATACAAGGTTTCAAGGCTGTCACCAGGGAACGACTCCTAAAGCCCCAGTGGCAAGGGCACCCTGTGGTTGAGGAAGGGGATGATGGGAAAAGTGTGACTTGTCATTTCTAGTCTGAACTTCAGTACAATAGGACCTAAAGAGTTTGCTGTGACTCAGAGGACCTTGGGCTCAGGAAGGGTTTCCGTGGCATCGTTCGTGGATCTTCACAAGGTGGGGTGCTAAGTAGACACATCACCCTCCAGTTCCTTTTTACAGTGGCGTGCACTCCGGGTGAAGAATGAGCTTGGGTTCCCATTTGCAGTGGCATCTCCTATTTCAGGGTTCGTTCTAGAACACGGGTTCTTTTGTTTTCCGTCTAGGCTTACAGAAGGCAGTAAGTCTCCCTCTCCACTCTTCTCTACAGGAGACACCTACTCACCACTTCCACGTGTGTCCTCCCCGTCGGACAGACGCACGCACGTCAGTCATCACTGGGTGTCTTGTCAGTCTTCTCTAGCAACATTCTGACCCAGTAGGGAATATGTCTCGGTTCCATGACTGAGCTGAGTGTTGAAGGTTAGCAACGTCCCTGCAGGAAGCACCCCACTAGGTGCCAGCAATGCCCCTCCCTTCATTCTGGCAAACCCCAGTGTCTAGATTTTTTTCCTGGTTGTTTCTGTTTTTGATTTGTTGGCAAGAAGAGATGGCTAGCTGGATTTGGCCCACTGGTTTTACTTTGCCAAATCCTGG